CCCGAGCCGTATGTAAACAAATGGCTGACTGACCCTAATCCTTGTAACCATAGCTACAAATGATTCCTCCCTTAAAAATAACATTTAAATCCTGGTAAAATCAATCTGGTACATTAATCTTCTTTGTTGCATGTCACTTTTTAAACTCTTTCAACCTGTCACTAATAGGTTAACTGTTGAATCTGACTACTCTTGCTTCCAATAATCCTGTCTATTATGATCCCTTATTATTATTCCAATAGACCTGTGTTATCTGATGCTTATGCTCCAAACAAACCTGTGTAATCTAACTCAAGATTGTCTACACAGACCTGTCCAATGTGACATGACATTCTCTCAACAACCCTGTCTAATCTGACATCAATAAGCATAATTCTATCAATGTTGATTTATTTCAATATCAAAACCACTTAACCAGATGATGAAAACCTGTATATTACAACATCTTGTCTATAGCTTTATCTGACTGGTCATTTTGCATGAGCTTTTGTGGAGGTCTTTTGAGGACAGGTTGCACTGTATATTGATGGGATCAGGGGTCGGATTAAAGAGGTTTGTTAAAATGTTGTTTAATCTATGGAACTTTGAATCCACGTTGGTAGCCACAGGCTCCAAGTGAAAAATTGTGTACAATTTAACCTGTCTTAACTGACAGCTATCTTACTTAGAAGAACCTGTCTAAACTAGACATTACTATCAGTTTCACTGAATAAATTTTGAGCTATGTTGAATGTTGTTGTATCCAAAACAGGTCTGTTTTGTAAGGAATATATGTTGCTTTAGTTGCCAATTTAGACAAGTTTCTTTGTAAGTTAAAGTAAATGTAACGTTACTCACCCTAGGAACTTGGTAGCTACTGGTCCCATCTCAAGGATCCTGGCAGCGAGGGCCTCACCCTCGTTGATGGGGAGGGGGTGCATCAGTTTTTCCTTCTTGATCAGGCGACAGGTAACGCGGGTGGGCATGGAGGCTTTTCTAGGGGGGATGATGATCCGGACCCCAGAGTGTCGACGCCCCCTCATGGCGCCCCCACGGGCGTCCACCATGAAGCTGATGAGGAAACTGTTGGTGACAAGAACCATGGCGAAATATTAGTGAAAAGGTTAACAAAAAAATAGGACTTTGCCTCCAAAATGCTGGAAAAGAAATGGGGAAAACACTTTTGGGTATCTCTGCTAGTTTAAATCCGAATAAGAAAGAATCGATCTTAGCTCGAAAATTCCTTCGATAGGTCGGTTCTGGAATTGGCAGTCAGCACTTTTTCCTCTTTGCAAGATTGAAAACTTTTCCTTGGAAATATCAATTCAAAGCATTTCTGGGGGTAAAACGATATGCCTTCATGTGATCCATAGAATTCAGCCTGCTACAGATGGCAAGATAGCTGGTCCGACTCAGATCAGAGAAGCCATGTTTATATCTACTGGAAAGTGTATCTGTGGTTTGGGTGGGGTAAAAACAGGCGGGGAGGAGTTATAATCAAAACACAGGGGCCAAACATGCAAGGTTAGAGTCAGCAAACCTCATGTCTTAGTTGTGGATGTATCGAATTTCCTTCTTCAGGGTCGTAGAAACTTTTCCCCACTCAGAATCTTGATATAGAATCGGGTATATCTTCTCTCCCAGTGAATCTAACAGGCTGAGGAACTCCGAAAAATACAACACATCAATGTCTCAACGCTGAGACTCCACTGCAGTGAACATTCCTCCAAGGGTCTGTTATCTCCACTAAGAATTTGAAAATATCAAGATCCAGTTCGGGAGGCTCAAGCAGGCTTCACTGACAGACACACACACACATACGCTCTGGGCAGCAATGTACAGATGCTAAATGTGTACACCACTGTTTGTATATGTAGACCACTGGCTTTATCTATGTATAGGGCTCACAGCTCCCTAGGGGCTTACTCCCCAAACAGCTACTTGACTCCCTATCAGCTCCCGCTCCAGTATTACCAGCTGGGTTGTCTGGAACCCTAGAAACTTGAGCAACAGGGCACTCCAGTTCTGATTTCACAAACAAATCTACTGAAGATTTCCTTTCTCTTCAAATCAAGTCTCTTTACAGTGAATATAATTTAACAGTGAACGC